AAGTAGGCGGAGGATACTTTCTAGAGCGGTGGATGGCGAGGGAGTTCATCTGCAAGCACTGGCACTGCCTCCCAGTGTTTAACATGTGTGCCCTATGTGATGGATCAGTCCTCAAATAACTATAATGGACTTATTCCTTACTAAGAAGATTACAGCCGCTTAGTTGGTAAAGAAATTATCTGCCTTTTACAGAACTCCGAAGTAGATTTTAACGAAGAAAGCAGTCTTCTGGGATTTGGCACCGTGTATATGTGGTGTTAACCGACGTTTCGGAGGAACGTATCGCCTCCATACGTTCCTCCGAAACGTCGGTTAACACCACATATACACGGTGCCGAATCCCAGAAGACTGCTTTCTTCATAGTCACCGCCGTGAAAGCCTCAAATCTTACATAGATTTTAACGGTTCTGACGATGGTGTATACGAGATGGGATTAGAAGAAATTTGTACTTTGCCCGTCATCCATTACTCTAAAGAACACTAAAGAACACAAAGTTTCAAAAAGTGAATTTGTTTCCATCCTCAGGTGAGGGAGTGTGACACATACTATACTGGGTCCATTAGATTGTCCAGTCTTTCTAACAGACTCAACAGAGTAGGTATCTCCCACCCCCTCCCCTGAAGACGGAAACAGATCCAGTGTCCGAAACGTTGTGTTCTTTAGAATACCGGGCGATGGTCAAGTCCAAAAGCCCAGTAATCTCCAGATCCCCCGAAGGTTCATTACTGTGTTCACAAGAACTTTCACTGGACATTCTCCTGAAGTCAGCTGAATCCAATTCGCATCCTCATATATTTCCGTAAGTTTCGTTTTAATATCATCTTATTGCACCTATCAACGTCGCCTGTACCCTTCTCTCCAAGTGCCTTCTACTTAATTCCGCCATGAGAGCTCCGTGTTTCACCCATGTCACTTCCTTCGATTCTATCATTGTAATAATATCTAGTGAGACACTGTCTCATGTTGCAATCACAGTAGCCGCGCGGTCTAAGGCATGAACCGTCTTCACCCGCTCGATCACTGTGATCATGGGTTCGAATTCCACTAAAGGCATGGATGTCTGTGTGTAGGTAGCGGCCTTGCGACGGGCTAATCCCTCGTCCAAGGAGTCCTATCGTCTGTGTATAGGATTAAGAAACTGAGAAAGCGGCCAAAGTCCAAAGGGCTGCAGAAGCATAGACAGGGATTATTTCATGTTTTCTTGTCTTGGATGTGCGTTATAATCACCTTCCTCTCGGATTCCTATCTTAATTACCTTGCTTTATCATATATCAGTAATCCAAACGCAAACATCTGATAAACAGCCCGAACGTACAGTGCACATGTTACAATCCGGTTGCAGTTATTACAGAACTTGTTCGTGGATGATATACGTAACAGTAAAATATACAATGCAATATGGAATAAAACACATAAGAACATAAGCATGCACTTTTTATTAATGCTAGTGGGGGTGGGACTAAGTCCCTTGTACTGCGGCCACTTCTGGCCTATTGTACCAGCCCCAGATGATAGGTGAGGGTGATTGTGGAGCAATTGGTGGAATGAAGATTGGCAGGAGAAACCGATGTACTCGGAGAAAACCTGCTCCAGCGCCATTTTGTCCACCACAAACCCCACTTGACAAGACCCGGTCTCGAACCCGGTCCGCCGCGGTGGGAAGCCAGCGACTAACCGCTTGAGCTATGGCGCGACCTAAGCACGCATTTGATCTGACTCAAATAACTTTATCTATGTATGTTATTTATTTCGCGGCACTGTTGGTACCTCAAGCTATAGAACCGGGAGGCTGGATAATAGGGAACAATGGTGGAAGGAAGCAGTAGTAGCCTCATTTAAGGCATAATTCCGGCACTTTCCTGGAGGGACTGACGAAAATCACGAAAACTCTCAGTCAGCAGGATACTAGATGTCTCGGCCGAGTTTCGAATTCTGTACCTCCCGCATACAAGACAGAAATTTTGTCACTTGAGTTAACTTGACTGCTAACTCTTATTGGTTCTAATGTTCCAATGGGAATTTGCGGATTTAAATTGCCGTTTAATTCTACTGATTTCAGATTTATATTGAAATTTTCAAAGTTCCTATCGAGGAATTTCAAAATGCATTCAATATACAAAAATGAGTTATAAGCCTATATATATATATATATATTGCCATTTGTAGGGGTGACTGACCGCCTCTGTGATCTAGTGGTCAGAGTTCCTGGCTACATATCCACAGGTCCCGGGTTCGACTCCCGGCGATACCTGATTTTCTGAGAAGTAGTGGGTCTGGAACGGGGTCCACTAAGCCTCGTGAGGATAATTGAGGAGCTATTTCAAGAGAATGACGGCTCCGGTCTAGAAAACCGAGATTAACGGTCATGAGGATTCGGTGCGCTGACCACGTGACACCCTCTATCCGCAAAATTTGGCACTGACTTCGCTGACAAGTGGCGGTTGCTCGGTCGGTATAGTTCGCTTGCGAACTAAAGGCCACGGAATTTGTTTGTAGGAGTGACTATTGACGTGTTTTCTATTAGATGATTGGACTTATTGACACCTTATTCATGCAACTAGGGACTACAGGTAGTACAGCGCACCGCTGAGCTACACACTTTACAGTTCACCATTACACAGGCACTAGGGCTCTCAGTCTTCATTGTTGTATCCTGGCAACGGATTTATAACAGTCTGTCACTTCAAATCACACATGAAGTCTTCTTTCCACAGCCTAATTCCTTTCTTGTCATTATTCTGCAACTGTCAGTTCCGAAGTCTCGACTCAGTTCAATTCTTCTGCTCCCAAGCTCATATCCTGGCAGGCTAGCGTCTCGATACTCGACTCAATCCTTCTCAACTGAACTCTTTTTGTAACCACTTTCCATGGATCACGCAAAATACTCAACATTTCTGTTTTTTTGAAAGGCGTGTTTTTATAGAGCCGTTGCATAGCAGCGAAAGTCGCTCGATTGTTGCCTGCGTATTCGTTGCCGCAGGAATGTGTTGACCGAGTCGTTGCCTAGCATTTAACTCTATTCTGACTTCGCTATTCCAGCTTTCGGGCATCTTGCCAATATATGTATATATAGAGTATGATTTTGGTTACATTTCAGTAATTTATTAAAACCATCGTCGTGAATTAAACTGCATAAATGGTATTTTCAGCAAGACAGCGATGTGAGCACGGGTTCCCAAACATTTACGCAACGCTTGAATGCCGTAGCTTGTATAATTTGGAGCCAACAGTGGCATATGACAAACTGGCTTTACCAGTCGGACGGATATCGTTGTTGTTCGGTAACCAGTAACCAACAATGGCCTACCGAGGATCAACCAATTTTGTTTCTAAGGTAGCGTAGTCAAGACAGATCGTGTATGAGAAGGTATGTGCAGTGTACGCTGATTTCTTCTTTAGTCTTTTAGTTTGCTGCCATAAAACTGCTAGAGAAGCGGAACCAATATTGAGGTAATTAATTTCAAAATCGTCCATTGCACGTCAAGACTTGCGTCATAGTTTGAAACTGCTGATGAAGCATTTACTTATGTATGCTGTATTTCCTCACCATGCCACGTACAGACCTATTACAAAATGTAAGGTACAACATTTTCTTGCCGTTGTAATTGTTGGTTCGGCGGAGTTGTACAAGCTTCAAGAATCTCATAATTTAGATTTTTAATTTTCCTGTAAAATATTATGAATGATTAAAATATGAGTATTAACTCACCGCTTCCGTGGCCATCGTATTTTGGATGCTTAAAATCTGAAACAACAACATAATTGAACATATATATATATACATATCGGTTATAAATTTTCGAATTCTACACAATGATTACAAGAGACAAACAAAACAAAATAAGAAGGATGCCGTCTTCTGGGATGTGGCGTTTCGGAAGAACCTGCCCACGCTGGTTCCTCGCTCGCAGATTTTTTCTTATATCCTGAAGATGGAGGCAATACGTTCCTCCGAAAGTCGGTTTACATAATATCTACACGGCGCCACATCCTAGAAGACGGCATTCTTCATTGTCACCGCCGTGAAAACATCAAAACTTACAAAACGAAATAAATTCTAGGCATGCATTCACTCTGTGCTGTTACATAAAAATATTCGTACAATTCGAAATATAAACGTTGAGGTGGGAGTTATAGGTTCCAAATCAAATCAGTTGTCTTAGAATGAGAATAATTAGTTAGTTAGTTATTGGAGAGGGTGGGTTTCCCCATGCACTTAGACCTGTATTGGTCCAGTGTGCTTCCCTCTATGATTTCTACCAGTCTCTATATCCTACCGGTACTGGTGCTTACCATCAGTCCCGCCCAGCCAGCGAGACCGGCTCTACTAGCTCTCTATTACCTACTCTAATCCGTGAAGTAGTAATGGAACATAATGTTATGTTGCAGCATCATGTTGCACTCTCTATTCTGTGTATTCTCACGCCTTGCCGTCTTTGTGCAACTTCGTCGATATATTAATATTCACACCCCTTCGTTTCTTTATTCTACAACACTACATGTTTCGGCCAGGGGCACGCGGTAGCGTAGTTGCTTGAGGCACTATGCTACAAGCCGGAATGCCACGGGTTCGATTCCCGATGAGGTCATTGCAATTTTCAATTGACCTAATCCTTCCAGCTGCACTATGGCCCTGGCTTCGACTCAGCCTCTAACAGAAATGAGTACCAGGAATATTCCTGGGGGTAAAGGGTGACCGGTGCGTAAGGCTGACAACTTCACCGCCATCTGTGAGCCAGTTATCTATAAAATGTGGGAGCCTCGACGTCTCACAGCCCTATGGGCCTCCACGGCCTGTTACAGGGATACCTTTACTGGACATCATAAGATTCTGAGTTGAAGGAATCTGCTGCTCTGATACTACGCTGTTCAGCTTTTCATTTTCGAAGTAAATGCTTCAGCGTATGCTAGGTTATGTTGGTTATCTTGCCGTTGTTATGCTGTGTCTGATGGCCAGTTAGGCCGAAACATGTAGTGTTACATAACAAAAAGACGAAGGCGTGTGAATATTAATATGTGAACGAGGTTGCACAAAGACGGTAGGGCGTGAGAACACAAAGTTGATAATGGATCGATCAAGGAGATTTCCACCCTCGCTGTCAGTAAGACTTACTGGTTTGGCGCTTTGCTACGTTTCGCTTGTAGTATTTTTGGAAGTCATTTACATTAATTAATGGTACTGAAGCATTATTTTGTCTGCGAGTATAAAGTAAGGGCTTCTGTGTGACACAATAATGTTATTAAATTCAATTCTTTATTTATTTACGTACTTAGGCCTATTAAACAACCCAAAATTCAATAAAAAGTAAACGAAAAAAAAGAGACACATATACAAACGAAAGAGAAAAAACAATTTGTATCACTCAGACAATAACAATACTTCAATTAGTGCAACCATGGCAACATTTTCCGTCGGTAGAAGTGTACATATATACATACATTCATCTTGAATACAATAATTAAGAAAGTACAGTTGTAAGAACAACAATTTCGATTCCAGATACATAATAATAATAATTCAATTCAATTCTTTATTATTTATGTGCGAGTCAATAGCCACAAGGCCAATTACAGGCACAGCACAGTCTAGATAGAAGTTATTACATAATGGACAAATATAACATAAAGTCAAAGACTAATTAAAGGTAAGCACTGGAGGAAAAACACAGTAATGCAGAGAAGTGAACGAACAAACAATGTAATAATAATAATAATTATTATTATTATTATAATTTCATTGACACAAATCTAAGTTTCTATATAGAAATGTAAAGTATAAATATTTAGAAATTATAATTCAATTCTTGTTTATGTACAAGCAAACTTACAGCCCAGAGGCCAGTTACAAAGTTAGCATGAGTACGTACAAGGATACAAAACAATCTAACAAATTACAAAATAAGTCAGTCTATATTAGTGCAATAAATTAATAATAATCCCATGAAAAATTAAAGTTATCATTAATTGGTGAGAAAAGTAAGAAAAGTTCATTTCCAGTGATTATGCCATTATGTGACGAGAAAAGACTAAAAAGTAAAGTAAAGCTATCCCTGTACCAGGCCGTGAAGGCCCACAGGGTTGTGAGACGTTGAGGGTCCCACATTATCTGGACAATTGGCTCAAAGATGGCGGTAAGGTTGTCAGACTTACGCGCCGGCCCACGTACATACATACACAGAAGGTAGTAACAGTAACTCAGTTAATTATTGCTTATTTATGTGCCAACTCGGCATCCAAGTAATAATAATAATAATAATAATTATAGCATTATAAAAATTATTAAGGCGAATATTCCTGGCTCCGAATACGTCAACATCCCTGCAGACAACATTAGCAGCTGCTGCGCATCCAGCAGAGGGTCAATTTTTACATGAGGAGCAAACATTGAACAATGCAAAGTCTCTGATATACCGAGCAGGAACTCTGAGACCAACAATTTCCAAAACGGGACGGCAGAATTTCGAGCCAAAATAAACTTTAGTAAGAAAGAGAGCATCGAGGCGATGTCTCCTAATATATAATTCAATTTTTTTTTATTTAATTGCTGGTTCAGTAGCCTAGTGGCCAGCTAGAGAATTAGCGCGAATACAAAAAAGAAAACATAAAACAATAATAATAACTCAATTCTTTATTTATTTACGTTCCGAGCTCAACAGGCAGTGTCCAGTTACAGGGTCAGCACGAATACAAAACAAAAGCAGTAAGCCAAACACAATGACAAATAAAAAAAGCAACACAAAATTTAATCAGTTAAGGTTATTTGCATTTAAACGCAATTTTCTAAATATATATGTAAATTTACAAACTCCATTAGCAGCAGCATACCTGACTGAAGGACAGTGGGTTCCGAGCAGGAAAAAGAACGCCAACTGTTTCTAGGAGAGGGGTAGCATTAGCGCCACTCTAAGCTTACTTACTTACTCATGGAGCTGAGCCCTTCTCGAGGAGCCGTCAATTCTGCAGCTATTCAAGAATTTCCCAGCATTTTATGGAACCCGAAGTTTCATTACCGTGCTCACAAGAGCCCTCCACCGGTCCCTATCATGAGCCAGATCAATCCAATCCGTGCCATCCCATCCTGTCTCTCCAAGATCCATTTAATATTGTCCACTCACCTACACCTTGGTCTTCCTTGTGGTCTCTTTCCTTCAGGCTTTCCCACCAATATCCTACTAAACATTTATTAAAATAAAGCATCAGAGTGATGCCTGTTATGTAGCGTCTGCGAATTTATTTTTTGCAATAACTTATCGTAGTGATACTGGATATTTGAGTCTATTGTGGCAAAGAGCTGCAAGTTCTCTTCGCATGCGCTCAAGTTCATTATGGTCAGTAATCGTTAACAGAGTTCTAAGCAACAAGACATACTCAAGTTTAGGTCTGACTAAAGCAAATCTTATCATTGGACTATCTATGATGGGAAAGGAAAATGTTATTGTACCAATTACTTTCAGTAACTCAGTATATAATTTTACTAAAGTTAAGCTGCTTCACGAAACCTGCCAAACACCAGTCGTGTACATAATTAATATCTGACTCCGAAAGTAAACAATCCTTAGATGAATTATATCACGATAGACTTTATAAAGTCATCAGAAATAAGAAGACAGAGCGGTTAATTACATTATGTTCAGTCATTTGCCATCACCCAAATAAGTTACATCGGGAAACAAGCTACAAACAGAAAAAAAAAATCCAGTTCACAAAAAGCAACCCCGCGCCGTACCCCCCCCCCCCAAATCCACCA